TATAAAAATAATTATCTTTGCAACCGTTCACACTTTATTGATGAAACTTTCCAAAAATGTTTAACTAATTGTCGTTATTCATTACCCAAAATTTCAGTTCAATTCGTCTGGCGCAAAAAAAGTCGATTTTTTCAGCTCTCTCATAATATATGTTGCATACAAGAAGTTTGCATTGTTTAACTTATTGTCCAAATTTTAACAAAAATTTCCAAATATATGAAATAAAACTTGAAATGTTGTTCTGTCAAACAAAAAAATAACCTTGAAATCTGGTTAAAAATAACGGAGTTATTAAAAATTTTTATCCGGTAGCGACTTTTGGAACATCATTTATATATTTAGGTTCGACAGCAACCTTGCATACCGTTTCGAACCAGCCGGTCATTTGACACAATCTCATTCGCAGCTGTTCAGTTGGAACCAAGATTAGTTCAGAATCGGTTTCTTCTATAACCTATCCTAATCTTTTATTTTTCAATTAAAACATACAAAAAGACATTTGTTCCATAGAGTTTTACGCAGAAAGACATAATATGTTTCGTTTAAATGGTATCAGCAGATCTTTAATCAGAGAAGTTTTCCATTGAAAACATTTTCAATGAATATGTCTACTCAAATAATTTGAAAATTAGATAACAGCAAAGAGCAGTTGCAAATATTTCCGGTATAGCACTTAAATTTTCATATAAATGTCGTTCTCTTGCATAGAATAACCATTCAAAAAATGCCGACACTGTGACAACGATAACAAAGACATATAATAAAAATTTTGTTATCTTACTACGACAACGAAATACTTTGTAATTTTCAAAAAAGAAATCAAATAATATAAAAAATGCAATATTATTTGTTGTTCTTGAATGTAGCTTTTCATTAGAAAATATGGGAATAAATAAAGCAAATACAATTTCTAATCGAGATATATAATGAAATAGTGTCGATTGTTCAACTAAAACACGTGGTCGTCGATTATTACGTTTTTTATAGTACATTAGAGCAGTAAACAAAGAATGTAATATTAGATAACCAATAAATAATATCCATTGCATTAAATTCTTTGTTGCAATATAATATAAGATATATGCTATGTCACCACTTAACATTAGTAAACATATCAAAGTATGATATATTAACAGATATAAATTTGATTCTATTATGGTAGAAAATTGTAAATAAAAAAATATAATGGAAACGGTTGATAAGAATCCCGAATAATATGAATGCGTAATATATAGAAACCATGCATCACCTGAATAAACCCCTGCTGATATTAATGGTAATAAGAACATAGCCACACGTGGTTCATTATTATCGTCCTCACTCATAATCACTTAAACTATGAATCAAATCTATTTACTTGTCTTGAATTTATACACTTACTATAGTCGTTGTTGTTGGTGAAATGAATATGTCACTTCAATGTGCAAGCTATAAAGTAGGGAAAAAATCGTTCTATACTTATGAGTAGTAGAATTTACTATAAAAGATTAACAGAACTAGGCTCACTAGCATAGCCGTCCAGAACAAATATTATGTACGATCACAATGCTATTTCAGGAAAGGACTATCCTTTTACACAAAAAAAGAGCTTTAGATCCTTATCTGATACGACTATTTATCAAGAAAGTCTTAAAAGAACTATTGATATTTTATATCGTACTGTTGCTATACAAATCGATCGTGCTAATCACAATTCTGTCTTTCTCGTAAGCGAGCAGTCGGAAATGAAATAACTGTTCATGATACAGACTAATAACATCGTATAGACATGCTTAAGAAATTCCCCAGTGCATCGTGGAAATCAAGAGCTGATGTGAAAACAGACTCTTAAATCGAAAATAAGTATTTTATTATTCCTCAAAATCACGGTATCAATCGGTCTCTGATAAGTAGTAACATCAGATAATAAGTTTGCGATTCTAAATTTATCACGTTATTTACGCACTGTAGATGCAAGCGTAAGAGCCTTCCTGTGTAGCGACCTCTACTTAGGTCGAAGCTGAATTCGACAGCTCGGGTGTCTTATTTTCATAGCATAGTTACAAGTATGAATTATGTTGGAATCTGCAATTTTTAGAGCAGGTTTGTAGAAGCCATCCTAGATATCGATTTCTATATAAGAATCTTATCAGAAACTTATAAGTCTCTTATCAATTTCTTACAACGCTCTTATAGGAGCCTTACTAGTTTTACTAATTATTTATATAAGTTTGTTTAAAGTTTCCCATCGAAAGTGGTAAGTCTCTTATACGAAGCCGATAAGATTTTCATAAGAGGCTCATAAGAAAAACATAAGAAATCCTCAAGTCGTATGTCAACCAGAAAAAAGTCTGATTTCCAGTTTTAAAGAATATTACTGCCGTTCACCGGAAGCGCATGAGTAACAGGAATAAAATGAAAAAAAGAATAAATTACACTTAGCGAGGATCGAACTCATAATCTTTCATTTAGCTGTCCGCATATATCTCAACCATTCGGTCATAAGTATTTACTCTTGTTGTAGTATTATATCAAATTATTTTAGATAGGAACGAAAGTTACGACTAAAATATTGTCCGATTAATTAATTGATACATACGAACAAAATAACAACTTTTATATTTTTAAAAAGAAGAGTTCTACGAGTACGACTCACGATCACAAGTAATCAAAATAAATGGCAAAGCAACTTAATCATAACAGAAATCGGCAAGTCCAACTCATGAGCTGCTTTCTAGTGGATAAAAATAACATAAAGATTTTTGGTACTTCTTATGAATTTCTTACGAATCTTTTATGAAAATCTTATGAGACACTTACGAATCGCTGGGAGAAATCTTAAACAATCTTATATAAGAACCGGTAGGATTCTTTCTATCAGTTTTATCAAAACTTTTTTGTTTAGGATAGTTAACCGACTAGTGAACATACGTCCACGTTGTTTAAAGTCACAAAGAATCTTCCAGCAGTGATGCACGAGTTTATCTAATAATCGAAGATGGCAGGACAAACGGATTTCCTTAACAATACCTTAGTAATTTAAAGATAATCATGAGAACAGTTAAGATAAACAGAGATGATTTAAAAATAACACTTGGCAATTAACTTACATTGAATCCTTTCTAAATCAAATTTCTTTATTGAGGAGGAAACTTTGATGAAAATCTCGTCAAATATGCTATTTTTCAAGTGAATGGCGATTTGAGAGCGAGCTCGACATATCTATATAGTTTTAAAAATGAATAGTGTTCAGCATTTATGTCATTTAACGTGCAGTTTATTATTATATAAGGTTTAAAGTGATGGGGAATGAAAAGGTAAAAAAGTAAATTCTATTCATTTCTTTTTAGTAATTCTATAAGCTCTTACTATATTTACCTCTTCTCCTATTCTATCGACATCTAATAACGATAAAAAGATGAATGTTTATTTCTAAGGCTATCGAAAGATAAGTAGGAAAAATAAACCAGATGGATGACTTTTTGTTTTGTTTTTGCTTTGTCAGTATGATTTAGCATACTGTACAATCATATTAGATGAAACATTCATTTTTCAATATACGTATGATTAATCTTTTGCAGTACATATGAGGAGGATGAAAGCGAAGTGCAATTTGAATGCACTTTCTTCTCATACGATAATTTTGCTGACGCGACATGATAAACTTTTCGACGGTCACCCATTTAGACAGTTACATTTTCATAGTGAGGTAATGAAGTACAGAACTGCTATAAACATGATTAACTAATCATAAGGTATTTATTTCATTGATATTTCGACAGAATCCACTGTCATCATC